AAAAAAATAAAAAAAAAAAAAAAAACCTCATTCATTTCGAGTAAATAACGATTATGAACCCTAATCAACCCAGGATTAGAAATAGAAGATTTCTTGTGAGAAAGAATGAAACCCCTAATCCATAACCCTAATCAAAGGACAAATTCTTCTCTAATCGAACATCGAATAGAGATGAATATGGTTCATTTTTTTTTAATTTGTGAAGTGGGAAATTTAATTTTGGGAGTTAATTCAGATTGAACCGATTATTTTTGATGTGGGACTAAAAAAATACATAGTGTTTTATTGTTGAGTAAAACTTACACGTTCGAAGCGTTTAGTTACACACACTGATATTTTTACAAGTTACACGTTCGAAGCTATGAGTGATTACCAAAAATATCAAATGCTATATTATTAATTTAGTCCTTACGTTATGCAACTTATCGCTATTGACATTCAATTATATTATGTGATCCATCTTGAGTTCAACTAACAAATCCCAGAAAAGCTAACAAAAGCAGAAGCTACCAACTAGGAACGGTTGTGTTAGAACTTAGAACTAGAAGAGGTATGTATGTTACACTAACTATTACATCTATTCTCGCATTAAAAATATTGGTGTTTATTGATCAATCTCCTTCATTTTCTTATGGTATCACAATATACTCAGTGTGGTACCATAAGTGGCATATGAGGAGGGTAGTGTGTATGCAAATCATCTACCTTGTATAGGTAGAGAGGTTGTTTCCGATAAACCCTCGGCTCAGGACCTAATTAACCAAATTTAATCGATTAAAATTTGGTTACATCCCTCTGTTCCAATCCTTCTCGCGGATCTATTTTCTTCCTCCCATGTTTTGGCTCAAGTATATCATTAGTATATAGATTAGACAAGCAATAAAAGTGTGAAGTTAATAAACATATATATATTTTTATTCAAAAAAAAAAAAGAATAATAGGTAAAACGAAAGGGGGTCTCAGTCACTTATTTCCTAATACAAGTGAGAACATAAAATAAGCTGATAACTTAAATGAATACATTTAGGAACCAAAAATTTGCAAGTAATAGACAATACTTGAGGTCCTTACATGATTTCCGGAAAAAAAAACAAAAAGATGAAATAAAAAAGTTTCTTGCATACATAAGCAAATATTAAATAAGTGATTCGGAGAGATCAAACTTTCTGTATAAGCAATTCCATCATGAACTCTAAAATATTCGTGCCAGAATCCAAATGGACCTGTGGATGTCCTAAGTGCAGTATGTCCAAATGTAACCATACGGTTGGTCCAAGGTGCACTTGCTAAAGTCTCAAATAAATATAGTAGCACTTCACCATTTGCAAATCTATGTTTCAATTTGGCATATACAATATTGCTGAGTAGTATGGTAAACAATACAGTCCAAGATTCTTTGACACCATAGTCTTTCATTACCCACACTTAAAAGTGCCCCATCCTTGATGTTTATGAGTAGAAGAAACGCAAACCATTCCTTCCACTAATGAAAGGCCATAATTAGACAACACATCTTCATTAGTTATGTGCATTTGCTCTAGCAAAGGTATCTCTCCGTACACCTCATTTGAAAAACTAAATGAAACCAAATGACAAGTTCTTGATATTGTCTTACCAAGCCAATGAAATGCTCCATGAACAAATACCATAGTATCCATATACCAACTGTCATTTCGGTAAGGATAAATCGGAAGTTTCTGTCCCCACCTAGGGCAATGGCAATGGTAGTTGGATAGTACCAAATCTTTCTCCAAGAACCACTTTTTAGCGAGAGAATTTCTACGGAATGTCGTATTTGACACATGGTCCACTTAAGGATCTTGTACCCATCACTCATCGCGTCATATCCCAATCCGAACATAGTACACAGATGTCTAAATTCTGAATGGGGAAGAAGTGTCGACTCTCTTGTGGAAGGGTTCCATAGAAAAAGTTGTTGATCAGATTTACCAAAAAATCCGAGAACAGCCAACCCATTGAAACAACAAAATAAGTGGCACTCAAATGGTTTGAAGGTTGAAGGGCAATCGAGTTGTTGTACATTCGATAAAGGAGAAGAATAGAAGCTAAATTTGATGGTGCGTTCCATATCAACACTATCAAACCATGACTGGCAAACAAGAAGTTTGTGGTTATTCTTGACATGATTGAGATGCTTCAACTTAAAGTAAGGATCAGAGATTAATGCCTGCCAAGAGTTCGAAACACATTTGAGCTGAAGAAGAGACCGTACGGGTAACCTGCTGAGGATTTCCATAATTATTTCGCCTTGGAATTGAATTCCAGTGGCCTAGATAGGACAAGGCAAGTGCTTTAGTATAGTTCAAGGTCTTTAGGGCAACAAGAACATATATTAAAGAAAGAAAGGTACAGAAACTAGCTTAGAGTGAAATCAGAACTAACCTGATGATCAACAATATCCATCTGCTTTGACGCTTCACAACTCTCTTCCCTGAAATTAATTTAAAAAATGTGGTCAGCCCTTTTCATGTAGACGATAAAGGTCAGTCCTTTTGGACAAGAGGGGTTGGTCTGATGGTAAGCAACCTCCACTTTTAACCAAGAGTTTGTGAGTTTGAGTCTCCCCAAGAGCAAGGTGGGAAAGTCTTGGAGTGAAGGAAGCCGGGTCTATTTGGAAACAGCCTCTCTAACCCATGGCAGGGGATAAGGTCTGCGTACACATTACTCTCCTCAAATCTCACTAAATGGGATTATATTGGGTTGTTGTTGTTGATGATAAAGGCGCGCACACACAGAAAGAGAGAAACAGATACCTTTGGGAATTCGTACTGATTTCTTCTTCTGTTGGCATCTGAGAAGATTTGCCATTATTGTCATATTTGGAGTTTCTCTATTGAAAAGATTAGCCTTTTTTGTCATCTTTGAAGCTTCTCTATTTGAAAGCTACGGCTTCTCTTCTTCTCCTATTGATTTGATTGAAAAGATTCGTCTTTTATGGGATGGAAAAGCGGGCGGAGGCGGAGAGGCGCATAAAAGGGAAAGGGCAAAGGGCTTTTAAAAATTATTCTCATTAATGATACTGAAGATTTTGTTTATTCCAAAAATGGTACTTTTTTTTTCTTTTTAGCACTTTTACATTGATAACCCCGTTACTAAACCGTTTGTTTGAAGGGTTGTTCCTCATTGTACCGTATTATATTGTTATCCCAAAATAATGTTTGTTTTGATTGTTTCGTTAAAATTGGTTGTATTGTATTATTAAATTTATTATTCTGAAACAATGATAAGTCCCGTTTTTTTAAACAACCGATTTGGTGTGGTGGAATTGTTTCTTATTTTTCTTTTCAATTATACCCTGACTTATTACTCCACAATTTTATTTTACCCTTTATCTTATTTTCTATCTTAACTCTAAATCTCCAACTTATAACCTACTTTGTTTTTTCCAAGATGTTTTGCTGCCTTCTGTTTTATTTTTTCTCTTAATTTGCTTGTAATTCAATTCTAATTAGTTGTGCTCCTTTGTTTTGCCTTCTTTTGTCTCACTCCTTTGTTCTACTTTCTTATTGTGTTTTTCCTTCTTCTGTTTATTTTTTAAAATTATTTGTATGCATAATTTTTGATAAATTTAATATTTAAACAATTGAGGGTATTTTAGTAAATTTATCAGTTATAGTACAGTACGATACAGTCAACCCAAACAACAAAATATAATTTAACAAACAATACAATCTATCCAAATATTGTATTCATAAAACGATACGATACAATACAATACAATACATTATAAAACGATGGGAAACAATGATCCAAACAGGGTGTAAGGAATCCCTCTACATTAATACACTTTTTACTACATTTCCTTTTCCCTTACTCTTCTATAACTTCTTTTTTCTCTTCCATAAATAACATCTACCAAATATATCAAAGATTCTCAAAGCATAATATCTCAAAAATAATTCCCTCTGCAACATAAGAATTTTTTTTATTTTTTTTGAGTTTTAAGCTTTTTTTCTGTAAGATTTTATTTTAACTTAAGATATACCTTTAATATATTTCAAGTATATTATATTGTGATAATTTACAATGTAAATATCCCATCAATATGTCATATATATTTTCTATATGTATTTATACCACATATATAATTTATATATATACATCATAATACATAGTTATATTGATATTATTCAAAGTATATTGCTAGCAAATACTTTACATAAAATTTAATCTACAATATTAATATGCCACTAATATGTATATAGAAAAAAAATATGTCACGTATATTATTTATATGCGGATAATTTATACAAATATGCACGCTATATTAGTGCAAAATATAAACGGGATATTAATAATATATATTTAAATATAAATAAGTGTATAAATAACAAATGCATATACACATGATTTATAATATACCACAAAAAGTACCTTATTTTCACAAAATGTATGTATTTTATTTCATTAGAATTTATAAATATATAAATTTGCTAGGATTAAGTTGAATAAAAAGGTCCATGTATGAAAAGGAAAAAATATGTTATGAAATGGATCAATGATATATTATTAAATATAAAGACGTATATAAATAGCATATGCATATATACATGAAAATTCCTTTTAAAAAAATACATGATTTATAGTGTATATATATCACAAACATATATTATATATTTTTCATGAAATATATGTATTTTATTTCATCAGAATATAAAGATGTATAATTTCGCTATATTACATTGTATAAAAGGTCCATGTATGGAAAGGAAAAAATATATTGTGAAATGGATTGGTTTCCAACGAAAACATAAAACATGCTATGGAATGGAGAGAAGAAAAAGGGAAAGATATTAAATTTTAGGACTACCTTTTTAAGCGGCTTGATTCTTGGTGATTTGAATTGAATGGAATCTGCTATACGTATAAATATTTTACTGTCATATTTGTTAATCATTAATTAATGCTAATCTTTTGTATTATGTTTTTAATAGTCTGTTATTAATGAAAGTAACCTCTCTATTTTCACATATATTATGTACATTAAATTTCCGTTATACTATTGGGCTAAATTTACCCATACTGTTTGTCACGCCCCAATTTTGGGAGGCGTGACTGGCACCTAGTGCCGCACTGGCCCGAGCGAACCACTCTGAAATTCATTCATTCATTTTGTAACTATCATGGGTCAACATTATATTAAAAAGTTATTTTACACACTTAAAATTTTATTTTAATATTAGAAAAATAATTTCTTAATTGTTTGAATATATTGTATGTATGTAGTAATATGTTTACTGTCATTTTATTTCTTTCCGTAATATTTTCCAAAATAAAAATTATATCTCAAATTCAAATAATTCTTATCATTCTATTTTCTAAATTGAAATGCAATTTCAAAATATTATGTTATGTTGTCAAACTTATACTAATTGCACTTAATTCAGATATTAATCATAAAAAAATATTTTCTTAATTGTTTGAACACGTTATATCTAAATGTTATAGTAATATTTTCACTGTCAGATTACTTCTTTTGTAAATTTTCGTTCTTTAGCTTTAATACAAATTTAATTATTAATTTTCATTAGTATAATTACCTATATTAGAAATTTATTTTATATTTTAGTTATTTTTTCATAAATAAAACTTCAATTTCATAATAGTATACATAGTTTGAGCATTCTAATCATAGTTTTAACAACTTTCTAATTTCAAATTCAATTAGCCTTTCCCTTTCATTTCTAATACTAAATTTTTAATAATTCACATAATTTTGCTAATTTTTTAAGTATTGTATATTTAATTATAACAACTTTCTAATTTCAAATTCAATTATCCCTCCCCTTTCTAATTTTTAGTTTGTATATTTAATTTATTTTATTTTCTAAACTTATCCTCACATTATCTCTAATTTATTTCTATTGTTCAATATTTTTAGTTTTTATTTTATCTATTAGACTCGAGTTACGTGGACCTATTCATTTTATGACTTTTTTCTTATCAAAATATAAAAATCTTTATCATCTCAAATTTAAAAAAGTTTTACCGTTCTTTTCTATGATAAAAATGTAAGAAAAATTTCTCTATTTATTTTTTATTTTTGATATTATATTATTCAATACCTAATATTATTACATTGTCATATGAATTTTTATTAGTTTGTTTTAATTTAATATCTATTTCTACCACACTCATTTTAATATAGATAGATAAAAATTTAAACACTTTCTCAAATTCAAATAAGTTTTATTATTCTATTTTCCAAATTTGATTGCATTTTCAAAAAATTATGTTATGCTTTCAAACTTAAACTAACTTCACTCGATTCAAATATTAATCACAAAATAATATTTTCTTAATTGTTTGCATCCATTATATCTGAATGTTGTAGTAATATTTACGTATAAAATATTCGTTTGCCCGATTTATCGATATTAATATGACATTATTATTATTGTTATTAAAACATTTTTTACTAATTATTTAAGTTTTTACTTACCTTATAAATAATTTATATACTTTATGTAAGATCTTATTTTGCCACTTGAATTTATTTAATTTTTAAACTCAATAAATTTTTAATATCTTAAGTAAATTTTAATTTTATTTTAACTAACTCCAAAGTATAAATAGTTACAAGTTATCTCAATCTACGTCTTTCTATATCTTTTTATTTTTTTATTATAATTTTAGTTAATATTTTACCTCCATGTTTCTAGCTAATATAGAAAAAAAAATCTATGAGTGGATCAATATAGTTATAGCTACAAATATACATATAAATATAGATATATAAATTATATTTGTCTAAGATTTATCTATATTGAGTATAAGATTTATTAAACTACTTCAATTAATTATGTTTCCATTTATAATTCAAATTTTTAATGTTATCTTAAAATTGCCAAGTGACTTCTTTTTAGCTTGCCACTTGACTTAACCACATGCTTCACTACCCTCCTTTTAATATAATATAGATACAGATATAGCTAGATTACTGATTTTTATCTTTGTTGGGGTATTCATTTTTATCAAAGAATTATGCACAAATAGTAGAGCCAAAGAAACAAGAGGAACCCCTTCTATTGTTGCTTCATCTTCTGTCCATGTTAATGTTTACGGGGCCGCCAGACGGCCGCCAAGGAAGCTCCTCGAGCTGGCGGTGGAGCCGCCAACGATGGTGGTTCTAGAGGTGGAAGCAATGTTGTGAACCATTGGTGCAAAAGATGTTACTATAGTTATTGATAGCACAAATAATGGTAGGGTATATAGTAATATTTACTCATCAAATGGCACTGATAATAAATGTGGCCATAAAAAATGGTACTTAGTAAGAGTCACTATGAACGGCGGCGTGCATGGTGGCGCCCATGCCAATAGTGGCGGTGGTGATGGCATGACGGAGTTGGTGTTGGTGGTCGTAGTGATATACTAAATAAGTAGCTAGAAAAACAAAAGTGAAAGAAGAAAAAGATATAAAAGGAAAAATGATAAGTACCACTACAATATGTGGTATGAACTTATGTTAAGGGGATAATTTATGGATCAATTCAGTTTTATTAAACATATTATATGAAATGTGAGTTGTGAATTACTTTAGTTCGTATTTTTGATTCTATAATTTTCTTGGTTTTGATCTTATGATTTCCGTTTATCATTCGTATTAGTTAGGCTCCCTATGACACACCTCTGAGTGTGGCCCTTCCCTGGACCCTACGTGAACGCGATATGCTTTATGCACCGAATTTTTCTTTTTATGTGTATCGAGACGTTCTCAATTAAGCAACTAATTAGGTACATTTTTCGATGTAAGAAGTGAATCACTACTCTAGAAAGGCAATTTATCGATAATTTTATTTAATTTCCTCAAGAAGACTTTTTGTTGCCAAATAACTAAATTTGTTCCTAAGAACTTTAGGTAACATAAATTGGCATAACGCTATACTTAGGAAATGTTATTTTCTTGATGAAATTACGTA